AGGGTGGGAGGGGAATCGGCGCGTGGAGTGAATGTCGGGCCGTGCTGCGCAGGCTGTGAGCGCGCGCTGTGGCCGCCGCCGCGCCTTGTTGCCCGTCACGATGCACTTTTCGGCGTTGATCACGACGACGCAGTCTCCGACATCAGCGCCCGGGGTGAACTCGGGCTTGTGCTTGCCCAGCAGGAGCTTTGCGATCTCGGACGACATCCGCCCCAGTCGCAGCCCCTCCGCGTCCACCACGTACCACTTTTTCGCCGCCATCGCCCTATCCTCCGCCTTAGGCATCCACGTCTTCTGCCCCGGCATCATCGGCGTCGCGACCGGCACGCCCGCCTCCATGCGGACGGCGGCGGCGCGGCTCGCCGGCGGCGCGGGCAGCGGCGAGGGCAGCACGTACGCGCAGCTGAGCGCAAAGGCGGAGGCGAGCATGGCAGCTGGGAGAGCCTTCAGGCAGTCGATCTCCCGGAAAAGAAATCGCGGGCGCCCACGCCTTCTACCAAACGAGGGCGCGAGATAGGATTTTCGCGTCAGTGGCGGCCAAGACAGAAACAGCGTGCTACTGTCTTGAGTGCTGGAGGCGCCCCTGATGCCACTGGTCTCAATCCGAGCCGGCGGCGCCTTCGTCCGGGCCCACGGCCGGCACGCCGTCAAATTTTCTCGCCGATCCCGCGCGCTCGGCCGCCACCGCGGCGCCTCCGAGAGCGCCGTTTCGACACGCTGCAGCCGCGGGCCGCGGCACCTCGACACACCGCCTCTCGCGCCGCCTTGAGGTGCTCCGATCGTGCACGCGGGTCGGCTCGGCACGGTGCGTGCAAATTATTGCATGTATTCGCACTCGCTGCGCCACGTATCTGCCTCTGACGGCCCGATACGCCACCCGAAGCGCCACCGGTCCACACACGCGGGGCTGCGCGACTCTCTCGCGGCCCACCGCCCTCCCACACGCCGTTCGACCTCCACACAGGCGCTCGCTCGAGCCTCGCCGTCCGGGCGGTCCTGCGCGTCCAGATCTCGGCGACCATGACCCGCCACGCGCCAGCTCTGCACCTCTCCCGCGCGCGCCCGGCTGCTGGCATGGCGAGGCGGGCGAGGCTGGCGCGCTGCGACCGGTGGAGCGCCGCGCGGGCAGCGCACCAGCCTCGCACGCACCTCTCCACTGCGCCGCGTGCGCCGAGTTGCGTCAAGACGCAGTCAGCGGCCTTGACGGGTGAGTTCATCACATAGCTCGCGGTCTGAGCGAGGCTCTTGGTGCGGCGGCAGCGTAGTGTGTGTGTGCGGAAGCAGCGCTCCTCGAGCCAAGGCTCGATGGCGGAAGAGCGGTAGTGCGCAAGGCGAAGGGACGACCGCAGACTTCACACCCCGTCTGGGGGGGCGACCCCCCCATCTTTGTTTACCGATGCGTCCTAGAATGCAAAAACGCATTCTAGGACGCACTTTTCATCTCAAAGATACCATGTGTCTCGGGTACACAGGGCATTCTAGGATGCGATGGCTGTCCTGGAGATAGCCGCGCCGTGTCTTTTGTTACGCGTTCCATCTTAGACGCCACAAGCATCTATAGATGCACAGCTGTTCTGAGATGGCACTTGCATACTAGATCACATTTTACTATACTTGGACAGGGAAGCGTCTCAGGAGACACCGTGTGTCGGGTGCACCGGGCACCGAGGGGGGAGCAGGGAGCCAGGGAGCACGAAAAGGCGGTGTGATCTCTCGGCACCCCCTGGGGGCCCTGCCTTGAGTGCTCGTGTGAGGTCTCTCCTCGCGGCCTGCCCCTCCTGGAGAACCAGGTTCTCAGCACCGCGCATGCATCTGCTCGCGCCACGAGCTCTGGGCGCAAAGACCAAAGTTGCATGCACTGCTTACGACGATCCGACGGCGACGCCGCCTCCCCCCCCCACCAACCAGTTTGCGCGGCAGGTAGCGGGGCCAGTTCGAGGCTGAGGGCGTGGGCGTGCGCCTAGACACGGAAGACAGCGTACTTCCGAGAGTCGGCACAGTGAGTCGGCCAGCGGCGCGGTTTTTCTTGTTTGACTTGGCGATTTGAGGGACCGGGCATCCCGAGCTCTGCTCCTGCTCCTCGCTCCTCGCTCGGTGAGCTGTCGCCCACCAGCGCGCGGCGACCGCGCGCACACCGTGCCCGCCGGCTCGCCGCCCTCCTCACCACCCGTCGGCGCTGTCCGCAGGCATGTGAGTCAGAACGGCGACCGCGCAGCGCGCACGGGTGTCTTGCTCGCCACCACCCTCTCGCCCCCGATCCGTGACC